GGATACAGCAAAAGAAGTGTTAAGAAGAAAGTTTATACCAATTGGTGCCTGCATCAAGAAATTGGAAAAGCACCAAATAAATGAGCTACCAATGCATTGCAAGAACCTAGCAAAACAACAGCAAACCAAACCCAAAACTAGTAGGAGAAAAGAAATAATTAAAATTAGAGAAGAAATAAACAAAATTGAAAAAAAAAAAATACAAAAGATCACTAAAATGAAGAGTGGGTTTTTTGAAAACATAAACAAAAGTGATGAGGCCAGCACAGTGGTGAAGTGGGTTAAAGCCCTGGCCTGCAGCTCCAGCATCCCATATGGGCACCGGTTCGAGTCCTGGCTGCTCCACTTCCAATTTAGCTCTTGGCTATGTCCTGGGAAAGCAGTGGAATAATGGCCCAAGTGTTTGGGCCTCTGCTCCCATGTGGGAGACCCAGAAGAAGCTCCTGGATCCTGGCTTTGTATCAGCTCAGCTCTCGCCATTGTAGCCATTTGAGGAGTGAACCAGCGGATGGAAGACCTCTCTTTCTCTCTCTCTGGCTCTACCTCTCTATATAACTCTGTCTTTCAAATAAATAAATGAATGAATGAATGAATAAATAGAGAGAAGATCCAAATCAATAAAAGTAGAGATAAAAAGTAAATGTAACAACAGACACCACAGAAATAAAAAGAACCATCAGAAATTATTACAAAAAGCTGTATCCAACAAAACAGGAAACCTAGAAAAAAACGGATAGATTCCTGGACACATACAATCTACCTATATGAGCCATGAAGACATAGAAAACTAAATAGGCCAATAACCATGACAGAAATTTAATCAGTAATAAAGACTGAAAAGAAAAGCCCAGCACTGGATGGCTTCACTGTAAACTCTACCAGACATTTAAAGAAGAACTAATTCCAATTCTTCAAAAGCTACTAAAAACAATTGAGGGGCCAGTGCCGTGGCTCACTTGATTGATCCCGTATGTGGCGCCAGCATCCCATATGGGCGCCAGGTTCTAGTCCTGGCTGCTCCTCTTCCAGTCCAGCTCTCTGCTGTGGCCCTGGAGGACAGTGGAGGATGGCCCAGGTGCTTGGGCCCCTGCACCTGCATAGGAGACCAGGAGGAAGCACCTGGCTCCTGGCTTCGGATCGGTGCAGAGCCAGCCATAGTGGCCATTTGGGGGGTAAACCAATGGAAGGAAGACCTTTCTCTCTCTCTCTCTTTCTCTCTCTCTCTCACTGTCTATAACTCTACTTGTCAAATAATTAAATAAAAAGAAAGAAAGAAAGTTAAGGGTATTGGGAAAAAATAGTCACAATATTTGAGGGTTAAAGAACGTTATTATTGTGCCAGCATTGTGGCATAGCGGGTAAAGCTGCCACCTGTGATGCTGCCATCTCACATGGGCACCAGTTCGAGTCCTGGCTGCTCCGCTTCTCTGATTCAGCTCCCTGCTAATGCCCTGGAAAAAGCAGTGGTTGAAGGCCCATGTGCCTGCACCCCTGCCATCCATCTGGGAGACCTGGAAGAAGCTCCTGGTTCCTGGCCTCAGCTTGGCCCAGCCTTGCCTGCTGCAGGCATGTGGGGAACAAATGAGTGGATGGAAGGTATCTCTCAATTCCTCTCTTTTTCTCTCTCTCTGAAGCTCTGACTTTCAAATAAAAATAAATAATATGTTTTTTAAAAAGAACATTATCTTTAAAAAAAATAAAGAAATCCACCAAAAGAAAGGTGATGGAACCTTAGCATGGTGGTGAAAAAAGTCCTCAAAGTCAGCGGGACCACGTATCCAGACACCTCAGCAAAAATCAGAGCAAGCCAGAAGCTCCAGAGAGAGCGCTTCTGCTGAGACAGGCAGAGCACCCCATGTGTCGACAGGAGGCGTTAAGGACTGAGAGGAAATGGAATAATAGATTGCAGATCAGTAATAAATAGAGAGAAAACTAAGCAAATACTAAAACAAAAACCAACTCTGAGAAAACCAAGGAATATACAGCAGAAATAACCACAGTAATTTGCACGGCTCAGTTCTGAACAGCCTTTATACATTTACAAGAGTTAAGCATTACATATTCATCTAGCAAGAAGAAACTATATAATGACACTGGGAAGACAGAAAAAGGGAAACACATAATCACGTACTGGTGACCATGTAGGGAGGAGGCCAGGGGGACGTATGCAGGACAGTGCACCTTCCACAGTGGAAAGCAACAGCTAATGCCTCCTACCTGGAACCTGGCGTAATACTAGACACTCGAGAGAAACGTACAGAAATCACAAATGTACTGGCAATAGGACACTCAAGGACTATAATTTCATTTTTGCAATGTTTCATAAACAAACTACAGAACTATTTGAATTACATGTATGTAATAAAAATTTAAAGAATGAAAACAATTTCACAAAACAATAAACCTTTCCTTTTCTCCATATACATGAAAAAAACTTTCAGGAATGATCTACTATAGCAATAGTGCTTATTTTGGGTGATACAATAAACCAGGTATTTTCTTTGTGACTATCTACATTTTATAGTTTCATATTGAGCTATATTAGCAATTACTTTTAATGTAAATACTAAAAGAAAGCTCTAGAAATAATAAACAAAAACAAAGTAAAGGCCGGCGCCGCGGCTCACTAGGCTAATCCTCCGCCTTGCAGCGCCGGCACACCAGGTTCTAGTCCCGGTTGGGGCGCCGGATTCTGTCCCGGTTGCCCCTCTTCCAGGCCAGCTCTTTGCTGTGGCCAGGGAGTGCAGTGGAGGATGGCCCAAGTACTTGGGCCCTGCACCCCATGGGAAACCAGGATAAGTACCTGGCTCCTGCCATCGGATCAGTGCGGTGCGCTGGCTGCAGGGCGCCGGCTGCAGCGGCCATTGGAGGGTGAACCAACGGCAAAGGAAGACCTTTCTCTCTGTCTCTCTCTCTCACTGTCCACTCTGCCTGTCAAAAAATTTAAAAAAATTAAAAAAAAAAAAACCCTTCATGTAGGTAAACAATAATGATACTTAAAAAGCATTAACATCTTTTTTTAAAAACGCTGGATGGTTTCACAATCACAGCCTCCTAAGATTGTGTTTGCGTTCTTGTCTGCCCAGGAATACAAAGGAGAAAACTCCAGAAATTTGTTGCTGCCCAATTATTCTAATATCTGACTTCCTTGGACACAAAATGTAACTTATCTGGCATCTGTGTCATTGTGCAGTCCAGCAAGAAATGCGGATATGCTGATAAAAAAAATTTTTAATCTTTGCAGGGCAAGGAGCTCACAAAGAAACAGTCCATACAAAAAACGTTTTGTTTAAAATTTTATATAACCATACTTAACCTTTATTTCAATAAACAATCCTCACCACCAGAGGGTTTAAAAGCTCTTTCCCAAATAAGTCTATCAGCACACGAGAGTCTTGTAATCCATAATAAATGCCTGGTCTGTTTTCTCAAGGTCTGTTCTCTACCATGATTTAAAAAAAAATGTAGGAACCGGTACCGTGGCATAGCGGGTTAAAGCCAAAGCCTGCAGCACTGGCATCCCGTACAGGTGTCAGTTGGAGTCCCAGCTGCTCCACTCGACCCAGCTCCCTGTTAATGTGTCTGGGAAAGCAGCGGAGGGTGGCCCACATCCTTGGGCCCCTGCAACCATGTGAGAAACCCAGAAGAAACTCCTGGCTCCTGGCTTTGGATCGGCTCAGCTCCAGCCGTTATGGCCATTTGGGGAGTGAACCAGTGGACAGAAGACCCATTTCTCTCTCTCTCTCTAACTTTACCAAATAAATAAATCTTTAAAAAAAAAATGCAGAGTTGGAACAACTACAATGAATAAATGCTTTAGGGAGAAGGTCTATGTAAGATTAAGGATACTCATTATCTATTGTAAGTGAATGGCATTAAATGGTAAAGGAATCACACAGTTGTAATATGGTGAATTTTACTCAGCTTTACGCTTAGAACTGGACATATCCATCATTTCTGAATTGTGTCTAATCCCATGGCTAAGTTGTAACATCTGACTATCGCAGTTTCTCTTTGAAAATTCTGAACCCACACAAACATCAAAAACTTAGTGAAAAAATGGAATTAAAAATAAGTGTATCTTGGTACAAAAACTTTAAATTCTTTGCAGTTTTTTTACAATGTGCATTTCCCAGGAACTTTTTGAAGACCCTTTATATAAGGGTCTAACCTCCATCTTTCTAAATCTACTTAACCTTGTCTCCGTTTAAAATCACACAAAAATACTCACCTGGAGACAGCGTGCCTTTTAAAAACTTGTGCTAAGGGGCTGGTGCCGTGGTGTAGTGGGCTAAGCCTCCTCCTGCGGTGCCAGGATCTCATATGGGCCCTGGTTCATGTCCCTGCTTCTCTTCCTCCCACACGGGAGAACTGGAAGAAGCTCCTCGCTTCAGACTGGCTCAGCTCCAGCCATTGCAGCCACTGGAGAATGAACCAGCAGACGCAAGACCCCCCCCCCTCTCTCTCCCTTTGTCTATAACTCTCTGCCTCCCAAAAACTAAATAAATCTTTTTTAAAAAAAACAACTATGCTAAGATTTCATTTAGTTTTCCTTTCTTTCTTTCTTTTTTTATTTATTTGAAAGGCACAGTTACAGAAAGGGATAGGAAGAGAGAGAGGGGTCTTCTATCCATTGGTTCACTCCCCATGGCTGCAATGGCCAGAGCTGAACTGATCCGAAGCCAGGAGTTTCTTCCTGAGTCCCCCACGTGAGTGCTGGGGCCCAAACACTTGGGCCATCTACTGCCTTCCCAGGCCATATAGCAGAAAGCTGACTGGGAAGTGGAGCAGCCTGGACTCGAACTGGCACCCATGTGGAATGCCAGCCCTGCATGTAGCGGCTTCACCCGCTCCGCCACAGTGCTGGTCCCTAGTTTTCCCTTCTTTTAGCCGTAGGACTCAGCAAGTCATTCTTGCTAAACCAAATTCCCCTCTTAGCTTATCAGGAGACTGATAAATTTTCTAAGATGCAGTAACAGCTTTAACATCCTCATGCTTACCTGAGTGCGATGCTCTGGTACTGGAGGAAGGCTTCCGACTCTGGACGTCAGACTGAGACTCCGCCCAGCTTTCAACCAAGGACAGACAGTGAGCATCACTTAGCTCAGGATCACTGGTCCAGTCTGAATGACTCAGGTGGTCTTCTAACACCTGCTTGAGAAATAACACAAATAAAATGATGGCAAGGATGCTGTAAATGCAACTTCTGGAAACGCACATCCTGATCATTATGAACACCATAAAAACAAAAAAACAGGGGTCGGCGCTGTGGGGTGGCAAGTAAAGCCACCGTCTGCGGTGCTGACATCCCATATGGGCACCGGTTTGAGTCCTGGCTGCTCCACTTCAGATCCATGCAGACCCGCAGCCTCCAGGTCCCTCCTCAGTATGGGACACACTGCTGCCATCTCCACCTCCACTGTAGCCCTCCCCATTCCCGAGCTGACCCCTCCTCTGGAACTCCGTGCCCTGGTGTCCAGGCACCCCTACCCGTGGCTCTCAGCTGTGCTCTCCCGGCACCACTGTTCCTCACACTTCTTTGCTGGTAACATCAACCTAGAGAGGCCCAGAGCTCATTCTCGCTTCTCTTCTCTGACTTCACAGCTTGCTGATGTCACCTGGCCTTTTTAAATATTTTATTTATTTATTTCATCTACTTGAGAGGTAGAGCAAGAGATAGAGGCAGAGACCGAGACACATCTTCTATCTAACGGCTCACTCCCCAAATACCCCCAACAGCCAGGACTGGACCAGGGCAAAGCCAGGAGCCCAGAACTGTTTGTGTGTCCCACATGGGTGGCACAGGCCCAAGCACTTGAGCCATCACCTGCTGCCTCCCACAGAGCATTCACAGGAAGCTGGACTTGTGGCGGTGCTGGGACTTGCACCAGCACTGATGTGGGCATCCCAAGCAATGGCTTAAATCAGTGCACCACAACACCCATCCCACGGTCTTGTGGTTTTAAATATTGGCTACTATATTTTAATTCTAAAATGTAGCCCTCCCCACAACCTCTGCTATCTTAACATGCCTGAAACCAGGATATATCTTACAGTCAGGGGCATATCACACTTTAATTCGCAGCTTTCTTTTCTTTCCTGGGAGTACTTACAACAATGGTGTAAACAAACAATGGCATTTTAGACTAACGAGCACAGTGTGAACTGACAGCTTTCAGATGTACATCTCCAGGCAGCCTCTCTCCTTAACCAGACATGTATACCTAACTGCACACCTGACATCTCCTCTAGGATGTCTAACAGCTATCTCAACCTTAACACGTCCAAAACGAAACTTTCAATCTTCCTGTTCCACCTGCCGTTTTAGCTGGTGGCAGCTCCTTCAATCCAGGTGCTCAGGCCAGAAACCCTGGCATCATCGCTGACTCCTGCCTCTACATCTGTACCCGTTCATCAGGTAATCCTGTGGGCTCCAGCCTACAAGTTTACTAGTGGAGGCAGGCATCTGGCACGGCTAAGTTGCTGCTTCAGATGCACATATCTCATTTTGCAGTGCCTGGTTCAAGTCCCAGCTCCTGCTCTTCAAATCCAGTTTCCTGCTAATGCACATCCTTGAGGCAGCAAATAATGGCTCAATTACTTGTTTCCCTGACACCAGATGGAATTCCAGGCTCCTGGGGTAGGCCTGGCCCTAGCCCTAGCTGCTGCAGGTATTTGGAGGGTGAATTAGAGATGGAAGTACAGCTGCACTGATGACAGATCACCCATGTATGTAACAGCTTAGAATTTTACTTATTGCTTCTTTATTCACCACACTTTTTTTTTTTTTTTGACAGGCAGAGTGGACAGTGAGATAGAGAGACAGAGAGAAAGGTCTTCCTTTGCCGTTGGTTCACCCTCTAATGGCCGCCGCGGCCAGCGCGCTGCGGCCTGTGCACCGCGCTGATCCGATGGCAGGAGCCAGGAGCCAGGTGCTTTTCCTGTTCTCCCATGGGGTGCAGGGCCCAAGCACCTGGGCCATCCTCCACTGCACTCCCTGGCCACAGCAGAGAGCTGGCCTGGAAGAGGGGCAACCGGGACAGAATCCGGTGCCCTGACTGGGACTAGAACCTGGTGTGCCGGCGCCGCTAGGCGGAGGATTAGCCTAGTGAGCCACGGCGCCGGCCCCTATTCACCACACTTTAAGGGTGATACTAATGCTGCTTTACACAGGTATTTACTATTAACAGGGTCGGCACCATGGCTCACTTGGTTAATCCTCTGCCTGCAGCACCAGCATCCCATATGGGTGCCGGGTTCTAGTCCCAGTTGCCCCTCTTCCAGTCCACCTCTCTGCTGTGGCCTGGGAGTGCAGTGGAGGATGGCCCAAGTGCTTGGGCTCTGCACTGGCATAGGAGACCAGGAGGAAGCATCTGGCTCCTGGCTTCAGATCGGCACAGCACCAGCCGTAGTGCCCATTTTGGGGGTGAACCAACGGAAGGAAGACCTTTCTCTCGGTCTCTCTAACTATCTATATCTCTAATATCTCTGTCAAATAAATTTTAAAAAAATCTTAACCCAAAAATACTAAAGTGCCGCAGTGGCGAGCGAGTAGCAGTGTTCGGCCCAGGGACGGAGCAATGCCTGAGTCAAAGGAGCTTGTTTCTTCAAGTCATCTGGCAGTGACGCTGACAGTGACGCTGACAAAAAGTTAAAGAGGAAAAAGCAAGTTACTCCAGAAAAACCTGTGAAGAAGCAAAAGACTGGTGAGACCTCAAGAGCTCTGTCGTCTCCCAGACAGAGCAGCAGCGGCAGCGATGATAACGTTTGATTGGGAAAATGAGGTGCGTCAGTGTTCGGGACTCCAGAGGGAAAGTTCTAATTGATACTCCCGAGGACTGGATGGATCCAGACGGTGAAACGAAGCCAGGGAGAAAAGGCACTTCTTTAGATGCAGAGCAGGGGAGCCAGCTGAAGGAACAGATCTCTGACGCTGAAGGCGCAGTAAGAAAACCGTAAACCTGAGCCATACGATACCTGCGACGTCTTAGTTGTTTCATTCTCTTTTTACATTGGCTTTTGTTTTCTAAATGTTGTTTTCCAAGCTGTTGTATATTTGGATCGCAGAACACTTTGTAAGACAAATACTTTTTTTATGTGCATTATTAAAAATGTTCTAAGTGAAAAAAAAAATGCCACAGAGCATCCCAGGTTCTGATTCGTATTTTCTCCATGCTAGGCAAAGTCCCAGTGCATGAATATAACCAACAACGATCTTAGCTGTGAAATGTAAGATCAAGTTCTTAGTTTGGATAATTCTCTCTTTTTTCAAAGTGTCACCTAAGAACTATACAGCATCTTTTTCTCTTCTTGTGAACTATCTGTTTCCTATGTCAAGACAGGATGACTTCTCCTAATTCAATGACTGTAAATATTCCCTTTTAGACTATTTCCCTGGAGTTACTTAAATGGTCATTTCCGAGTGGATTTCTCAGGTTACCGCCCCTCTGAGCCCTGCATTTTGCACGATTAGCGCCCTGAACGTCTCACTCCAAGCAGCAGCACCACGTGAGGACACTCAGGGCTCAGAGGCGTCCGCGCTGCCCGCCTGTCCCCTCTTCTTCACCCAGACTCCCATTCCTCAGTCCTGGGTCACCGAACTCTGCATGTGAAGCCATGAAGACCCAGCCAGACACGGGAACACCGGGCTGAGCTCCCACGCTTTTCACACATCTACACTGGACAGATGCACAATGTTTCTCAGCTCTGGAGAGGACGTCACGCCCACCCTGCTGTTCCTGGCAGCGGAACTGACCCTCCGCTCAGATGGAACATTCCGTGGCACACTGCTGAAGCAGTAAACAAGCTGCTACAATGACACGGCCGCCCCAGTGAATGTGAGGCACACGGCACTCAGACGTGTTTTTCTTCATATCAAGGCTTCTGAGAAATGACAACTAAGCTGAATCTTGAGTAGGTATTAATATATGCAAAAAGGGGCTGGCGCTGTGGCATAGCGGGTGAGGCCACCACCTGCAGCGTGGCATCCCATATGGGCGTCAGTTCAGGGCCTGGCTGCTCCACTTCCAATCCAGCTCTCTGCTGTGGCCCGGGAGGCAGCGGAAGATGGCCCAAGTCCTTGGACCCCTGCACCTGCCTGGGAGATCGAAGGAAGCTCCTGGCTCCTGGCTTCAGATCGGTGCAGCTCCAGCCATTGCAGCCAACTGGGGAAGTGAACCGGGGGATGGAAGACCTCTCTCTTTCTCCTTCTCTCTCTGTGTAACTCTGATTTTCAAATAAATAAATAGATATTTTAAAATATATATATACATATTCAAAAAACCACTAATAGCGCAATGATAAAAATTTCTTAAGCTTCTATCTAGAAAATTAACCATTACAAATTCCTTCATGTTTCATGTAGTCTAATAAGAAGTCAAAATTCGTTCCCATGTCTGTCAGTGACCCGGTCCTTCCGAGCAGCACATGAACCCCATCTTCATCACTGTGTCTCTCAAGACGTGGCTTTAGTCCCCCCTTTGGGAACTGAGACTTACTGTAACTTTCCTTCCACTGGTGTAGACCGGGTTTTTACAATATGCCTGCTTGCTCTTCTGAAGATAGCGCTTCCAAAAATTATGTAAAACTTCATTCTAGGGTAAAGAGAAGGAGTGGTAACTCAGGTTACAATACAAATATGTGGGCACATCCACACCACACATGCTGCCTCCCATCTACATGTATGTCTACCTACATTCCCTTAAAGAGGGCAACTGCAGTGTCAGGTACAGGAGAGACACTGAACAAACGCTTCGTCAGCTAAGACTTTAGAGGAGGAAAGGACACGGAAGCTTACCTAGCTGAATCTCTCTCTTTGACATATTATGTAGATGAAGCATCAGAAAAAGAAAACTTTCGCAGGACTACACTCCTGGCTAGGGGCAAAGCTGCTGTCCGGTCCACCACTCAGCCCGGCAACTTCCTAGATTCAGGTCTTAAATTTAGGTCTTTGATCCACCGTGAGAGGTAGGATCTAATTTCATTCTTCTACATATATATGGACCTTGCCAGCACCACTGTGTCAAAGAGACACCTGCTCCACCATGTTTATAGCAGGATTGTCCACAACAGCCAAAGTATGGAATGAACCCAGCTGTTCACCACTAGATGACTGGATACAGCAAGTGTGATTTATACACAGCGGAACAGCCCTCAGCTATAAAATGAACGAAATCCTGTCGTCTGCAACAAAATAACTGGAACTGGAGGCATCATGTTCAGTGAAATGAGGCAGACACAGAGAGACAAATATCACATATTCTCCCTCCTGTGTGAGCTGGAAGTTACAAACAAACCAAAACCCTCAATCTGAACACAGAACACTGATTACTAGAAGCTGGGTGGAGTGGGGAAGGATAAAAGGAGTTTGGATAAAAAAAAAACAAAAACTAAAAACAAGAACCAGAGAAGCTGGATGTGGTTCATTAATCACAACAAATACACTAACGTGAAATGGTAACAGGGAAAAGGGGGTGAGGGGTGTATGGGAATTCATTGTGGTACTACCTCACAATTTTTGCTTTGTAAATGTAAAATTAATTAAAAAAAAGATAAAAAAAGAAAAAAATTCCCAAAGTGGCTTTCACCTGAATGAGGCAACATGAAATTGAAGTAATGAGGAATACTGTGTTGCTCCAGGGAGTCTGCAAAGTTGAAGTGTGGCCCCTGGGCCGGCAGCGTGGCCTTCCATGGAACTACTAGAAGTGGAAACTCGTGGGCCCTCCCTGGCCTGCTGCTCAGAAACTCTGGGATGGGGCTAGCGACCTGTGTTTCGGGTGACGCGGATGCACACTCAGTGAGAAGCACGGGTGTCATGGTTCACCCCCGACGGCATCCTGTGGAACTCAAGTCCTGACAGCTGCCACAAACGCACACAAAGCATTTCATTCTACACGGTGAACACCACATAGGACAGTCCCTGGAAATTATTAACCAACAGAAGGCATCAGTAAGTCTGCAAAGCTGCTTGCTTTACTTATTAACACAGCATTTCCTAAATATCTGAAACCTACACCTTTCTAAGAATTTTCTTTTGGATGTATTGCTTATTTCCAGCTTGTAAAACACGCTCCGAGAACTGGCGGCCTCCTAAATGGTTTGAGGCGGACACATGAGCAACTCGATCCCCCCAGCAGTCCTAGTGTTAGCACCAACCCTGGCGGCCTGCACTCCTGCAGTTCAGCGTCCGACAACGTGCAGCACAGCCGGGCTCACCTTTAGCTCCGGGCCTACTCCAAGGGTCTTCAGAGCTTCTGCTTGCTGACAGAGTATATACTGAAAGCCTTCACACACGTACCAATCCCAGCCTTTTTCTAAATGAAAAATAACACGTTTCAGACATTCGCCTTTCTAATTCACCAACAGTGATGCTACTGCACAGCTAAAATTCATGTTTTATACAGTGCAACTTGAATTTTTTGTACCTCTAAATAGGGTTTCCATTCCAATCAAGCAAATTTATAAATAAATGCTAAAACTAAACACTATGTATAATTTATCAGAGTTAACATATTTTCAGTTACCTATCATTTTTCTGAAATAGTAACCTAAAAAGCAGAAAAATGAAGTCACCATGTTAAAAAAAAAAAAAAAAAGGAAAAAGACAAAGTGAGAGGTGGGCACTTGGCCTAACAGTTAAGAGGCTGCTTGGGATGTCCACGTCCCCTAGCAGGGTGCCTGGGTCTGAGTGCGACCTCCACTCCGACCGCAGCTCCCTGCTAATGCACACCCTGCGCGGGAGCAGGTGATGGCTCAAGGAGCTGAGGCCTTGCCACTCACATGGGAGCCCCAGACTGAGTTCCTGGGAACATCGGGGGAGTGAACCAGAGGATGGGAGCGCATTCTCTCTTTTTCCCTCTCTTTCTCTGTCTCACAAATGGAAAACACAAAAAACAGAACTTATTAAAGTGAGATAAGCTTTAAAATACAGACATAAATTTTACTGAACAACGCCAAGAAGAATCCTAAATGCAAACACGCAGTCACTGCTCCCTCCACTTTTCAGTTCCGGTTCACAAAGCCAACATGGCGGTCTGTAGTCTGACAGCCAGGAGGGCAGCAGCGCGGTAAGAACATTCAAGCAGAGGAAAGCGGCCTGCGTGGTGCTTCTCTGGAGACGCTTCCAGGTTCAGGGACGAACTACAAGTAAGGAAACTGCTGCTCACTGCCTGCGGGCACCAGCAATGTGCTGGGGACTGCAGGAGGCTACCTTCTCCAACCCCAAAACACCCACGGAGGCTGGGAAGAAATCGGCCACCATGAGAGCAGAGCCACGTCCAACTGTCACTACCAGCCACAGGAAAGGAAACACTCTGCAGATGCCCGGGTTTCGCCTTCACCACTGGACTGTGGTCACAGCACGGTCACAACGTGACTAAACATGTTACAAGCACGGATTCAGGAAACCCTCCCTGCACATGGCAGGGGACACTTGGAGGTCACAGGGTTTCCCAGCCTGCCCACTAACCCAGCATCCTCCCTGAGTGCCACTCAGAGAAAGCCCGGGTTCCACGGGATGCAGAGGTTGAAGGACTTTAAGCTCCTCATGCCGTACACACGTCTCTCTTCCTCCTCACAGTGTTCTCAGAAACTGGTAAAGGTGTATTTTACATTCAAAGTCTGGAGGCAGAAGTTTGGCCTAATGGTTGAGGGGCCGGTCAGGATGCCCACACCCCATATCAGAGTGTCTGGGTTCCATGCCTGCATTCAGCTCCTCACTCCGGTTTCCACTAGTGTAGACCCTGGCAGGCAGCAGGGATGACTTCAGGAATTAAGTTCCTGATACCCAGGTGGAAGACCAGCTTCAGCCTCGCCCTCGGCCTAGCCTCGGTCATCACAGGCACTTAGAGTGAACCGGCAGATAGAAGTGCATTCTATCTCTGTCCATCTGAGAAATATAAATCAAAAATACATTCTGAGGGGCCGGCACTGTGGCATAATGGGGTAAGCCTCCGCCTGTGGTGCCGACACGCCACACCGGTTAGTGTCCCGGCTGCTCCTCTTCTGATCTAGCTCTCTGCCTACAGCCAGGGAAAGTAGTGGAAGATGGCCCGAATGCTTGCACCTCTGCAACGCGTGGGAGACCCGGAAGAAGCTCCTGGCTCCTGGCTTAGGACCGGCCCAGCTCTGGCCACTGTGCACATTTGAGGAGTGAACCAGCGGATGGGAAACCTCTCTCTGTCTCTCCCCTGTCTGTAACTCTACCTCTCAAATAAAGAAATAAAATCTTTACTAAATAAGTAAATAAATAAATCCTGAGTGTTTTTATTCATGTAACAAATAGTATCACTGTTCTCATTTTACAGCTGAAGAAACTAAGATGATAGGTTTGCCTCTAAGATACCTAACACCTAATGAAATACCTAAAGTTTAAGTTTAAACTGCATATTTATTTAAATAAGACTAAATCAGGTTTTACTCTGATAAATTTTTTTTAAACGACATTTATTTGAAAGAGTGACAGAGAAAGAGTGAGATTGATCAATCTTCCATCCGCTGGTTCATTCCCCAGATGGCTACAGCAGCTACAGCTGGGCCAGGTGGAAGCCTGGAGCCAGAAACTCCATCTTGGTCTCCCATGTGGGTGGCAGGGACCCAAGCACGTGCCCCATCCCCCTGTGTTCCCAGGAACATCAGCAGGGAACCAGATCAGAGGCAAAGCAGCCAAGACTCAGACCAGCACTCTGATGGGGATGCTGGCAGTCAAGATGCCAGTCCTTAAGTTTAATGAGAATTAATCAGGTTTTAGCCCAATAAAAAGTCACTGTTAAAGGTTAAACAGGAGCATGAGCTAGCCTCTTAGGCTTTCTCTCTGTAATGCATCTGTAATTGTCAATGTGTCTCACAAAAGTATTTCATCAACATGTATCAGTATATGTATGCGTACACACGTATAAGTACACACTTTTCATGTGTATGTATCCTTAGAGCTACCTCATGTAAAAGTCCACCGTTATCACGAGCCTGGTTTCAAACTTGAAAATCTGGTCCTAGGTAATTAGTTACAAAAATAAAAAGCATCAGGTAGACTTTACCTCAGATCCTTGTCAATCATGGTTAATTATATGTACTCCCTGGATAAACGAAATAGATTATCTTGCAAAGCACACCCCTGCTGAGGCTACTTTAAAGGAAAATAATCTTCCTTATTTTAAAAGGGTGTGTTCAAAATTCAGTGTGAGAAATGAACTGCTGAAAGCTGAACACTGGGCTTAAGGAGCTTAACCTGCCAGTTCCACCACCGAATCATTTCAGAAGCCAAGATCTTCTATAACACATTCATAATCCACAGCAGATACAGCACAGAACACATGCCCCCCGCTAGGGCTGTTTTCTGCCTGAGTTGCTCCACTGGAAAAACAGCTCATCGACAATAAACAGGACAGGAACGGGGCGGACGTCAAGACATCTGCTTCCAATCTATCACCAGCAGGCACCAGCTCTGACTCCATTGTGGGTTATATGACTGACACTCTGGCATTTTCTCCAGATTCCATGTGTATTCCACTCCACGGCCCCAGATCATACAGGTGAAAGATGTGAATGGATAACGCCGAGCACCTGGGACGAAAGAGCTTACCCAGCTTGCTTTTTC